AGAGAAAAAGGCATATCTTCTTCAACTCACTTCTATATTATTGAGTCCGAATTAGTCGACGGATGAGCCGACCGAACCTAGCATGCAAGGACTATTGGACAAATACAACCTATTTTTTGAGCCCAAAGAATTACCCCCACAAATTGGGCTATTAATCAAACTGAGCTACTTGAACTTGACTTGAGTTCGGCTCGGGTTCAACTCGTTTAGGCACTGTTCATTTTCTAAACGAGCCTGAACTTGAACAAGTTTTTAAGCTCGTTTAGAAAACAAGCCTTACAAGCTCGATTCAAACTCGACAAGCTCGGCTCGTTTATGTACAAATACTCGGGTTTGGCTTGGGCTCGACTTAGGTTCGACTCGTTCAGGCTCAGCTCGTTTCTTAAACGAGTCGAACTTAAACAATTTTTAAAGCTCGATTAAGAAACAAGCTTTTTAAACTCAGCTCGAACTCGACTTGGACTCGTTTGACTAACAGCCCTACCCACAAAGGAGTGAAGATCACAAAATTCCATTAAAGCCTGGCATAGGCCCAATAAATGTATGGCCTTATCGATATCAACACTACCAAAAAAATGAGATTGAGAAGATTGTAATTAGCCTACTCGCATCTTGGGTAATTAAGGATAACACAAGCCCTTACTCTTATCCGGTTCTTTTGGTCAAGAAGCATGATGGTTCATGGAGATTTTGCATTGACTACTGGGCTCTCAATCAAGTAACCATAAAAGATAAGTTTCCCATATTGGTCATTGATGAGCTATTGGACAAGTTATATGGTGCGTGTTTTTTTCACCAAATTATATTTTCGTTCTGGATACCACCAAATTCGGATGCGCCCTAAGGATGTGGAGAAGAATGCTTTTTGCACTCACCACGGACACTATGAGTTCCTTGTCATGCCCTTCAGGTTGACTAATGCCCCATCCACTTTCCCATCCATTATGAACAAGGTATTTCAAGATTTTTTGAGAAAGTTTGTATTAGTCTTTTTGACAACATTTTAATTTATAGTTGAAATGAAAATGAACACTTGGAGCATGTTGGTAGAGTATTTCAAAGGTTACTTGAACACCAATTTTTTATTAAGAGGGAGAAGTGTCAATTTAGGCTCAATAAAGTTAATTATTTGGGGATGTAATTTCACCAAAGGGGGTAGCGATGGATCCCGAGAAAATTGAAACTATGATGTCTTGGCCACAACCTATTAATTTGAAGGGGTTAAGAGGTTTTTTGGGACTCACGGGATATTACAAAAAATTTATTGAAGGATATGGGGAAATAGCAAGGCCACTTACACAAATAGTCAAGAAAGATGCTTTCAAGTGGAGTCCGCTAGTTGAATAGTCATTTCAAAAACTCAAGAAAGACATGACACAAGGGCGACCTTTAACTCTACCAGATTTTTCCACATCTTTTGTAGTGGAGTGTGATGCATCAAGTATGGGCCTTGTAGCAATCTTAATGCAATAGAATAGACCTATTGCTTTATTTAGCCAAGCCCTTGAGGGAAAAAAGTTAACCCTCTCAACTTATGAGAAGGAAATGTTGACATTGGTCAACGCAGTACAAAATGGCGGCCATATTTGTTAGGCTTCAAATTTGTAGTGAGGACAGATCAACGAAGTTTACAATACCTTTTGGGTCAAACAATTACCACCACAACCCAACAAAAATGGCTAGTTAAATTGATGGAATATGGTTTCAAAATATAGTACAAAAAGGGGAAGGAGAACTCAGTGACAGATGCATTATCAAGAAGATTCAAAGGTGAACTAAAGGCTCTCTCTCAACCAANAACGAAGTTTACAATACCTTTTGGGTCAAACAATTACCACCACAACCCAACAAAAATGGCTAGTTAAATTGATGGAATATGGTTTCAAAATATAGTACAAAAAGGGGAAGGAGAACTCGGTGACAGATGCATTATCAAGAAGATTCAAAGGTGAACTAAAGGCTCTCTCTCAACCAATTCCTCACTAGGTAGAGCCCATTAAAGCTGAAGTGAAATAGGAAGCGAATTACAAGAGTTGGTCAAGAAAATCTTGGAGGGGGAGGCACTCGAACCATGGGTTTTCAAAGAAGGTATTCTTTTCTTTAAAACCCCCCGAATTTATCTGAGAGAAAAATCTTCTCTAATTCCATCCGTAATACATGAGTATCATTCCACCACACATAAGGGCCTTCATAAGATATTACATTGCATTATAGCTACTTTTTACTGGAAGGGAATGAAGGGTGGAGTTTGAAATTTCATACTGGAATATGGAGTTTGTCAAACGCATAAGGCCAAGCTCACTAAGCTTGTCGGTCTCTTGAGCCTGCTACCTATACCGAAGCATGTTTGGATTGAGATCTCCATGGACTTTGTTGAAAGACTACCTAACTCCAAGGGTAAGACCACTATTTTTGTGGTAATCGATAGGTCATCTAAATTTGGCCAATTCATTCCTATTGTCCATCCTTACACTGCCTCTATAGTAGCTCAAATATTTTTTGATCAAATCTTTAAGCCATATAGTATGCCGGAGACCATAGTATGTGATAGAGATCCGATTTTTACAAGTGCTTTTTGGAAGGAGCTATTTCAGTTGAATGGGTTGAAATTTAATTTTAGCTCTGCCTATCACGCCCAAACAGATGGTCAAATAGAAGTGCTTAATAGAACCCTTGAAATGTGTCTTCAATGTTTGACGAACTCTAAGCCTAAGGAATATTCCTAGTGGATTCCATGGGTCCAATATTGTTATAATGCTAGTATTCATTCGGCTTTTGGTAAATCCCCTTTTGAGATCCTCTATGGCCGAAACCCACCCTCTCTCTTAGCCTATGTTCATGGAACGGCTATTGTTGACTCAATGGATACATTTCTCTTGGAGAGAGATAAGGTGCTCAAAGAAGCCAAGTTCCAAGTTGAAGGAGGCTCAAAACAGGATGAAGGTAATTTATGATAGGAACCACGTTGAGAAGAGTTTTGAGATGGGTGACGGGATATATGTTAAGTTGAAGTCTTATCGCCAGCAGACCTTAGCCCAACAAAGGAATCAGAAGCTATCAGAAAGGTATTTTGGCCCATTCTAGGTGGCGAGCGGAATTGGCCAGGTCTCCTATAAGCTACAGTTGCCGCCTACCAGTAAGTTTCACCCAGTATTTCACGTCTCCTTGCTGAAAAAGAAGATTGGGGTAGGAGGGGAGGAATAATTAGAGATGCCTCCATTTGATGATAGTGGCACTGCGATCATTCCAAAGCCTCAAACTGTTATGGACAGGCAGGTCAAGAGAGGAAAAGAGGAGATTTTGGTGCATTGAAAAAACACATCCCCACAGATTCCACGTGGGAGAGAATGGAGAAGTTTGTGGCCCGGTATCCCGAATTGTACCCTTGAGGAAAAGGGTGATTTCAAGGGGGGAAGGAAGTTGATATGGATATATCTTTATTTCTTTTCTAGTAGTTTAGATGACTTTATTCTTTTCTAGAGAAGTTAGGAAATATAATCGGATGCTAACTACTTTGTAGGATTTTTTTATTGCTAGTAGAATTTCTTTAGCTAAAGTTTAGATATTTCTATTTCAGTAGGATTCAAGTTGTAAGCTCTATTTATAGAAGTCTATGATTATGAATAAAGCATCAAGAATTATATCTCTATCAATTAAATTGATACAAGGAGGTCCAGTTCCCTCAACCGAACCAGTAGGAGGTCAAGGATCCCTCGAAGCATCCTAACAAAAATAGGTAGATGACGAAAGACCAATCCGTGTGCTCTTTTCCATTCATAAGCCTATGACGTGCTCTCAATCAGGAGCTCATAACAAAATTTGACAGTTTTACTTGCAAAAAATGAAGAGGCGCCCAGGGCCTAATGGAAAAGGCTGCTGTCTTCTAATCAGGGGATTGTGGGTTTGAGTTCCCCTGGGCGAGTTTCCTAAATTGAATGCTTTTCGACCTTTGTCTTCTCTTATCCTATCCCCCAGAAGCAAAAGTGCTTGCAATGTTTACGTTTGAGTTAATTTTGCTAGAGTTTGAACCCTTGAAACTAAGAGGAAGCAGGATCAGTAAACAAACATAACCATGACAGGGATTGCAACTTTACAGCAGCANATGTTTACGTTTGAGTTAATTTTGCTAGAGTTTGAACCCTTGAAACTAAGAGGAAGTAGGATCAGTAAACAAACATAACCATGACAGGGATTGCAACTTTACAGCAGCAGTACCGGTGAGCTAAAGAGTTTTGTTTTTGTATCTCTGATAAACCAAAAAGCTTTGGCTTCAGGTGTCCCAAGTCCAAACCTTAGTAAAGTTTTAAGGTAGGAACGGTTGCTTCAGTATATCAAGTAGAGAAGACAACGACCGCTCCCCTAGCTTCTTATTTTCTTTTTTTGTCGATTCAATGCCAAATAAAGTTATGTGATTATTGCATTTAGTTGTAACTTTCGGGCCCGTACCTCTTTCGATACTGGAGTCTTATCCGAGCGAAGAATTTATGAGTTACAATACAATCCCATCAATGGGGTCTAAAACATGAGATATATATTCAGTAACATCACCATAAATTGGACTAAAGATTCCTGACTTATAAATGTTTTTGGTATGGCTTGTAAGATCACAAATTGCATCGACACAAAAGAAGCTGCTAATTTTCCACACAAGCCACAAACATTTGGAAAGCTAGGAACTTCACACACTAATTTAACATTTCTATTCAAAAGTAAGTAAATCTCTCCTAACAAAGGTTCTACCACAACATCTCTCCAAGTGCAATTTCAGCATAAAAGTTCTCATCTGTCATCAGACAATTCATCTCCTTTTCCTCCAACAGATCGTTGATTGCATCATGTAAAGTAGTTGTAAGTGCTACAAAACTATTTATCAAACAGAATTAATTCATTTTTGTACCATTGAGCGGTGAGTTCCCTTTCTTTCTATGTACCTGTACCTCTTGGATTCGGAGTGTTTTTTCCAACAGCTGCCATGGTTAGAAAATATGTTCCTCATTTGATCTTGATCTACTTCAGATGAGCACCAATATAGCTAAATGGCTGGGGCACTCCTCTTGTTGATTGACTGTTGTTCCTGCTGCTGTTGAAGATCAAACAAATCCAGTCCCTTTTGGCGAAAAATAAGGTGCATTCTGTCATTTTCAAGCCTCATTCGCTCGTTTAAAAGCTTTTCTTTCTCCATTTCCCTCTCCTTCTTGGTTCTGAACTTCAACCATTTCACCCGCTGCTTTTCAAGTTCGTACGCTTGCATTTGATAGGCCACTCGCTGCTCCTCCAATTGCATTAACCGCGTCTTCACCCACTCCCTTTTTTCCATTGAAGTCTTCCTTCCATCTTGAACTACACTCTGTAATTCAGTACTCAATTGTTGAATAATAGGGGAAGTGAACATTTCCTTTTTCTGCCTCTTCCTTGATGATCTTTCGTCAGTATCATCCTCTTCATCATGACCATGATCTATTGCTCCACCTCCCAACACTTCATCATCCTCATCATCATCCTCATCCTCATCCTCATCATNTCATGACCATGATCTATTGCTCCACCTCCCAACACTTCATCATCCTCATCATCATCATCCTCCTCATCCTCATCCTCATCCCCATCATCATCCCCATCATCATCCTCGTGTTCACCACTTCCCACCTTTGCCATTTTTGATACCTCTGTCTCCGCTCTGCCCGAATTAGGCACAATTGGGGCATTTTCTGATGAATGCAAACATCCTTGTTGCTGTGACTGCTGCTGATTTTCACTTGGTTCTGCTGCCACCTCTAGCGAATGGTGATCACCACCCGTTCCCCCATTACCACTACAGCCACCAGCACCAGCACCACTACCACCAGCACCATGACCACAGCTATTATGATAAGCACACATCTCCCTGAAAAACAAGTGCTTAGAATTAAGCAATTTCTTCACTTCCTCCTTCATTTTCAGCGATACATGATCCATAGTATCAAGCAAACTCTGATTCTCCACAACCCTGCATGATGTCCCCTTCCCAAGTATATCATTAACCCTCTTATACCTCTTATTCAAGTCATTGAATTTGTCTTCACACTGCTGTGGAGACACATAAAAACCCCTCTCCATCATCGCCCTCGACACTGATTTCCACTTCCCTTTCTTCTGCAAAACCCCACCCTTCTTCTTCCCAGTAGGGTCATTCCCTTCTGACCCAGCTTCATCCCCAATATAGAACACCACCATTATCAATAGCCTCACCATACTGTCAGTCCATTTCATTCTTCTCCACGGAGACATTTTTTTCTTCCCATCACCACCACTGTCCTCAGCAGTCAGTCCAGGCTCATCCTCATCACTAAGAGTTAAATTTGTGTTTTTGACGTCTGTAGCATATGGTTGGCCTTGTTTTACAGATTGTTGAGTTTGTTGGTGGCGGTCAATTTCACGGTGGCCGTAAGCTACCATAGGGCGGTGGTGCTGTTGTAAGTCGTGGGGGTTTTGTGGTGGTATGTGGTTTTGGTGGTGTTGGAGTGACATTTCTAGCCCTAGCATTCCAGAGCCCATTCGAGAAAACATTCCACCAGGTAAGCCATTAGGTTCCATCGAACAAACTTAGACTGCTTCTATGGTCAAAATTTTGAAGACCCAGTTTGAGAAAAATGTCTTGGTTTACAATTTTCACACTAAATACAATCGAAAGCGACTGAAAAAAAAAGAGAAAAAATCAAACAAAACTAGAAAAAGAAATCTACCCAGCACTTGAAATGATATTTCAAACACAACCCATAAATAAAAATTGCCATTAAGCAACAAGTATTGGAAAATTTTGAGATTGAAGAGTAATCACCAGGTCCTGAGGCACTTCTTCAACACCCGGAGAGGTTTAGTGATTCATCAGGTTTTGCAGCATGATCTCTTTCATCTGTTGGAGAAAAGAGAGAGAAAGTGAGACGGTGACTTGGTAGGTGCAATGCACGTAGTGATATTGATGGATAAAGACATAATCTATGTGTAGATACAGAGAGCGGAGCAGCCGGTTTCTTATGGGAGGTTTTGGGTTTATGCTGACAGAAAACTGCCCACGGTTTTGCCTTCCTTTCCTCGACCAGCTCTGGTATGGAGAGAAAGACCACGGGATTGTGCAAAACTGTCGCCCACATGTACTGTTGTTTTTGTTAAATTTTGTATTTTATTTAGATTTTTTATTAGGACCTAAATTAGATGATGCCAAATAAAAAAGTTCAGTTGTTAAGTCATTTAGATTTTAAATTTAGTCTCAAATTTGATTAATATAACATTCCTCGTTATTTTTAGCCCTTTTAATTCTAGTTTGACGAATTTGTGTCAAATCTTATCAATTTCATATTAAAAAATATTTTATTTATATTTAATTTGTTTATTAGGTCAGATTTTTATAATTATATTATATTAGATTTGTGTTATATATCATTAGTCATAATTCGTGTCCGAAGACACGATAAAATATAAAATTCGAACACCCAAAACATCGATCTCACTATATTAAATAACAATTTTTTTCCTTCATTTATTTGATTATATCATTTAAAATTTATTTTTGTCTATTATTTTCTTAAAAATATTAAAAATTTTCTCAAAATACATAATTTGACAAAATTTTCTAAACATATGTATACCATCGTGTATGAAAAATGTCAAAAATAAAAACTATGTTAAACTACAAATTAATCAAATATTAAATGATTGTACATGTGATAGAAATTAATGATATGATGATTTTTTAGAAGAAAAATATGTAGGGAATAAATTCAAGTTACTAAGTGTTTTATTATATAGATCATTTATGATTAATATATAAATAAGTCATATTTTATTTTTTTTATTGACTTAATCTATAGTTTATATCAAATTTATGTATTAATCGTGTTATGTCTACGCATTTACAAAAATAAGTAATTTAAGAAAGATCAAAATCTTTTGATAGCTTTAAGTATTGTTAGCTCCCTTTTCAGTGAGGTAGGCCGGTCAATTCCAACTCAGTTCGAGATTGATTTATAATTTATAGCATTTGTATAAAAAAATTATTTATTTCTTTTTATTTCTTTTTTTTTAGTATAAAAAGTTTATGGTATTAATATTAGACTTCATTAAATATATGATTTTTAATTAAATTCATTCTAAGATATTATTTGAGTTTTCACAATTCAATTTGAATTTAAATCAAATTTGTGAACTTCCGATTGTTTCACTTTGAAATTAATTTGAGTTTTAGTTTAAGATTTATTACTTTAGAATCAAAGTTCTACTGAATCACAAAGAAGTTTTTGGTTCTATGATACCCATGTCTTGTAAAAGTCAATGGTTCAAGTCGCGTGAGCAAAAAAGCTTTGTTGACTGGTTAGATGGATTTCGGTTGCTTGAAAGAATTATATCCAAATATCTGACATTAAAATACAAGTCTTGATTTGATTATTATATTTTGATTTAACTAGTATATGGGTTGAAAGATTGATTCAGGTATTCAAAATTTGCCATCGGTTCTACTTGAACTCACAAGCCTGAGTAACATAACCGCATCTCTATTCGCCGAGACAGACTAGAGATTTCCTCCGTTATACAAAAAAAAAAAGAGGTTATATTGAATCGGTTTCAACCCAAGAATTGAACTTGAATTTCAATTTAAATTCTTCAACCCATATTTTACAAAAATACAAAAAATTCTACATTATTTACTTGAAGGGTTCAAGCTTAGTTAGATTCAAATTCACCTCAAATAATTTTTTTTAAAATTTAAATTGAAGTTGATTTAGTTTTCTTAATCAATTCTATCTAGGTTGACAATTTCTAATACAACACAAAAATACCACTCAAAATTTACACAAAATTAGGGATTAGGATTGACTATGTTTTGACACAAACCAGTTAACAAGAATAATAAATGGGTTGAGTTAGTGTCTAACACAAACAACACAAATTAACATGTTTAAGTAATATTATAAGAATAAAATGTCAAATTTTTATTATATATTATCAAGTAGTGACCTAATGCTTGTTAAAAAAAAATATTTTTACTCATTTTTATTATTATATTTATTAAATTAATTTTTATTTAATAAAAAAAGTATGAACATATGTTCAATTAAGTGATAATGAAATTTTAGACATAAAATTTAGTGTTAAATTATTTATTCATAGGTTATATAAGTCAACATGAATACGAACACAAAAATAAATAGACCGATACAGTATAATACAATTAATTAAATAAATTAATTTAAAATTAATTATTGATCGATACAAATCTAAAATATCACGATTTAAACATAATTCCGACGTGACACCATTGACTCCGATTCCTGTAACCCAAATGGTACCCTGACTTTCTAGATTTGTAAGGGGCGGCCCATTTAAGGAGCACTACGCATGGTCCAGAATTGGCACTGAGTGGATGGTGGTGGCTTAAAGCATAATGCAGGCATTTTGGGTTGTTGGAAATAAGATTTTGTATGCATTGATTAATATTTGCTTCTTTCTCATATGGATTTGCATATGATAAAAATGTGATATAGATCATTTTTCATTTATATCTATATCACTTTAGAAAAAATTATTTATCATTTTTTTTTATATCTATATCACTTTAGAAAAATTTTAATTACACTCCTTTTAATTTATCATATCTTCAAAAATACTCTCTCAATTTTTTGAATCTTTATTGATATTCTCTATCAGATTAAAAGTATTAAGTAGAACATAATTTTATTAAATTGTCCATGATATATTTTAGAAAAAATTTTATCCTCACCCCCTCTAGATAGACATATTTTTAATGAGACCCTTTCTATTTTTAATTTTTTTTTATGTATTAAAATTCGGGCCAATTAAAACTCAATTCGAGTTAATTAAAATTTATTTTTTACGTATTAAAATTCAACGATTAAAGTTATTTTTGTTTTTACATATTAAAATTTGAGCTGATTAAAATTTTATTCGAGCCAATTAAAATTTATCTTTAATCGATTCGAATTTTGATAAATAAACAAATATAAATTTTAATTGACTCAAATTTTAATATGTAAAAATATAAATTTTAATCAACTTGAATCGAATTTTATTAAGAAATAATACAAATTTTAATTGACTTGAAACAAATTTTAATAAGCTCTAACAGATCAACTATAACTCAAATCAGTTCAAATTTTAATATGCAATTTTTTTTTAATAGGCTCGAATTTTAGTACGTAAAAAAATAAAATTTAATCAGCTCAAATCGAGTTTTATTGGTTCAAATTTTAATATGTAGAAAAACGAATTTTAATTAGTTCAAATTTTAATATGTAAAAAAATAAATTTTAATTAGTTCGAATTTTAATAGAATTTTACGTAAAAAGATTATTTAGGGTTTATATAAAGGTAATTTTGGTATTTTAGATAATATGTTTTTGTTAAAAATAGTGGTTTAATGGGAGGGGGTGTCAGCGATATTTAAATATAAAACTATAAATAGTGTTAATAATATTTTGAATAATAGAAAAAATGTCATTAAAAATATGATAAACTAAAAAAAGTGTGACTGAAATTTTTCCTATCACTTTTTACTTATCCTTTTTGAGTGAAATTTATCACTTTTTAAGAATATAACTTGTAATTTAATTTTAATTTTAATTTTCGATACATTACAAAAAAATGAATCACGGTAGTTATTGTTAACCTTCTCATGTAACAAGACACGCCACCTTGTCCATGGTTTTGCATTGTGGGCCCAAATAATTAGGAGTGTCAATTTTGATCCATTGATACAAATTCGATACGAAGTCAATACGATATAATTGTAAAATTAACATGATGATTAAATATGCATAATAAATTATTTAGATTAATGTTTAACACTCTGAACACATTAATTTTTTTGTAGGTCTTGATATGAATATGATATGAATAAAAATAATACGACACAAAAATACACGACACGTGGGTTATACGACATGACATGAATTGACACCCCTACAAATAATAGTCCCATAAAGGATGAGAACTCCCGTAAGATTGTCCACGGATTGGATCTGAATCGAATTTTGACTTGTCTATATTTGAATTTGATAAAACAATTCAAGTTCTAAATTCAATTCATTTACTTGGTAAATTTAAAAATTTTAATCTATATCCATAGCTATTAATAATCGAATATCTAATCCGATTATCTGATTCAATCTGATAATTTGAATCCCAACAAATTTTATAAAAAAATAATAATTTTACTTAATTTAAGTTAACTTCAACTTAATTTAATCAACCAATCATTCTATTCAATAATTTCTATTTAATTTCATGTCAATCTCATTAATAATCTAACTAAGTATGTGTGTATATATAATAATTTCTCTTAATGAAATATGTATGTGTGTGTACAGCTTTTTTATTATATGAGATTTACATGTATCAAAATTCGAATCTAATTATCCAAATCTATTTAAAGAAACTTAATCGAATTCGGATCGAATTTGGTAAACATATTAAAATATTAATCTATTAGTCATTCTCTGCGTTTGAAGGCTTTATAAAAAAAAAAAAAAAAAAGTTGCGAGTAGTTGTCTGTGTCAAAAGGTTTTATATAATACAAAAAC